ACCGCCTCTGTGACCGACGCGAAGCTGCTTGGGGCAGTGGCTGCCGGAAACGAGTGGCGCTGGGCCGTGAAATTGCTGGAGATGGAGGCGGGCAAGATGCCCCCATTCCCCCATTCCACCATGGTGAACTTGGTAGCCTCCTAGTTGGTGCCAGCATGAACAAACCATCAACACACCCGTTGTTTGGCTCCACCTACTTCCTCAGAAAGGTAGTCAAAAACCCTCTAAGCCAGGCCAAAAGCCGGTCAACGCCAGGTTTTCGACCTGGTGCACGAAAAAATGGCAGGCCTTAGTTTTAGCACGGACAATTATATACTAAGTAGGTGAACCGTGGAGCATTTTTGAGGTCACCGAGTAGACAGAAGTGGGTAGAGATGTTACGAAAGTTATGCACCATTCTGCGTTCAAGGCAATATGCTAGAGGGATTAGCCAACATACATCAAGAGTAGCAAGTCACATGATGATGTTTTTGAGATGTATGGTGAATTTGGGATACACGCTGCGCATGAGGATCTCCAATCTGGAGAAGAGTTGGAACACAGGAGTCCAGTGAAAGCCAGCCAATCTCCCCCAATCCAACATTTGCCTCTCAAAGAAGAAGACACTCAAACTAAAGACATGCTTCCTGAAAGTGACCTTGTTGGAGTCCCTAAGTCCCTAAGTGTCCTTCTAGAGGCCCAAGTGACCTCAAACTGGGATATCAAAAGGTCATTTTGAAGAACCAGGAATACACCTCCTGCAGGTTGATCTCATCATTTGCAACTCCACCGTGACTGCCTGTGCTCGAGCCAGCCTTTGGCCTCCTGGCCACGAGTGGATGTTGGGCTTGGACCAGCTGGAACCCAGTGAGGATGAGGATTATAGGTCCTGTGTTCCACTGTGTGCAGAAGTGGCTTGATATAAAAGTAACCGTGTGTCGTCACACAATCCTTGCCCCAACATCATGCCTGGAAGTTCTTGGGAGCCTTTACAAGGGCCTCATACCACTCCCGTGTTCGGATGGTCGTCGAGCCGAAGTCGGATGGTTTCCAACGGACGAGTCGTTCTTCTCGGGATTGGATGGATTGCGGTTAGTGGATGAAGATGCCGAAGTCAGACAACTTTTGTCAAAATAGTGACACTTGTTTTTGGAACATTTGCACTGCTGACATAGGAAATGATGGGACAAGTATGGACAAGTGAGAAGAGCAGAGGAAAATGGGTTCAGTCGCGGGTGCATTGTAGCATGTTTCCCGGATGTGATGGCCTTTCTGGAGTCAGACTCCATGAATCTCCATGACCTTCGTTTTGCGGAGTGTGGATGGACCCCAGCTGGTTTGAAAGAGTGGTTTTGGAATGGTTTTTGGGTGTGAGATGCGAGGGTGTGACCCCCGTTTGGAGCTGCCCAATTCACTTCAACTGAAGCTGATTGTGGCGGGCTTTGAGCTTAAGACTTAGACCGAAGGATTGATGTACAGGACAACGAATTGGAAAGCAGGACTTTAGCAGGCGCCTTCGCCTTCCATCACCAATCCTTTTGCAACGTTCTTGTTTACACATGACTCATGACTTATTGATGTTCACTCTCACTCCTTGTTGCTTTTCTACTTATCACGCCTTTGGATCGATTGGGCAGCGAACGTTCACAAGGCTGCAGGCCCTGGTTGTTCTCTGTGCCGACCGCCGCTTGCAGCCTGATGCTACTGGGAAGGACAAGCACAGAAGCTGGGACGGAGTTCTGAGCCATTTGGAGGTTTTCCCTCGAAATTCGGTTTGAACCTATTTGAACATGTTTGAACTATCCCCCCTTCGGCTTTCGGTCGCCCACCAGTTGTTTACTGTATATATATATAGGTTATATAGGTGTTTTGTTTTGGCAACACTGAGCAGAGCTGCTTCATGGTGTTTCAAAAGGTGGACCTTTGTGAGCGTGACTTCACCGGCACGACTCCACGACACGCGTGCAAGTTGTCTCATGCGACATGAGCGTTTGATGTAGATCTTGCTGCACTGAGTTAGGTTGTCGTTCAACTGGTAAACAATCTCTTCTACCGAGGAAAACACAATGTCATGCAACTATATGCAACCCAATGTTTACTTTCTGTTTAAGATTAATAACAATTCCCTCTCTCCAACAAACATGGAAGTGGACAACCCCTGTTTGTAGAGGAAAATAGTCCTTCCATTTTCCACCTCCACAATTGTTCGAGGGAGAGTAATCTGACTTTTACAATCGGATGCTCAGCCATTTTTCTATCCTAAGATCCATCTACATACATCAATCCATTGTATGTCATGCCAGAGCTTCACTAAATTGGATTCAATGTCATTGTCGGGAAGCCAATGAGTTCGATAGTATACACGAATCCTTCCCCGTTTGGATTCGTTTGTCAGGTTTTGTTGCAACATTTCTCACATTTTGGGGTAGCTTGTTGGTGTTTCCAGGTCAAGCAACAAGTTTATTATGTTATGTATATAAATAGAACTATTATTTAAACAAAATACACATGTGTGTGTGTTTGTGGGACTGGGATGCTAGGAGCCTCGTTGCGGACGAGCAAAGAAATGCGAGTAGTTGACAGTTGAAAGATGAAGAAACCACCAAGAGTTTGGTCTATAAATGTTGATGTTGTGATCTGTTGCCATCAATTGGTCAGAATAGACCTCCCTCAGATGTGTCATCTCCTGTTGTTCATCCAGAGCTATTGAGTTCTCCCATGTTCTCCCTGCAAACCCCGCCCTTCAATGCTGCTTTCTCGCAGTCCATCACTGGTGCCGTCGCAGGGCGTCGCTATGCGTCGCTCGAGGTCATCACACAAAATGCCGCCTTGAGCGCATTGGAGAAGGTCGAGCACTGGCCACGTGCGATCCAACTCCTGCACTCGAAGGCGGTGGTTCGACAAACAAAACTGGACGAGTGGAGCGAGGGTCCGTGTCGGGGTGGAGCGTACATGGACATGCTACCTGGAGAAGCTTCTGCAAAATGTGTGCCTTTTCATTTATAAAATCAGCAACAAAGGCAGACATGTTGCCGCAGATCTATAGGTATATTATATAGAGATTAAACAAAAAATGAATTGCTGTAGGTTGAGCACGATCCAAGCGTGACTCATGCGACATATATATATATATATGTATAGGATGAGGATCAATGCAACCACGGCTGTCCAGCACGTTTGGGAACCGACCTCTTCACTTCCTCGGCAGACCACCTCCGTCGACGTGATTTCCTTCAACTCAGACGCTTGGACGAGCCCTGCGGCCATGCGAGCCATCCCGGCTGGCTGCCATGAGAGTCGTGGTCGCTGACCTGGGACGTCAGCTTCATGAGCCCATTTGTTGGTCAATGAAAAGGTCCCCCAAGACACATGGAAGCTGACCAGGACCTCCTCAATTCCGGTCTTCCAGGGGCCTGAACTCTCCACTTCCATGGGTTCAGTGTAGCTTGGACGATGGATGAAGATTGCTCAGAACCAGTAGGGACTTGGAAGAGAGTGGTTTAGAATGGTTTAAATGTAGTGCATCCAAAACTGCATGTCGACCTTTTGATCCACAGGAGATACTGACTAGACCGCCAGAAGCAGATCAAGCAGCGGCGTTAGATGGTGTAAACATGTTTAACATTGTTTAAACACGCTTAAAACACCACCCAGTGGTTGCAGTCATCTCGAGAGGTGTGATTGCTAGGTCCTGCTAGGTGTATTGGAGGACTCGAGAGGACTACCATGTGTTTTCTTATAGAATATGTGTTCACCAGCAAAAAGACATGATCGCACACGATCCAACCGGCGAACCGCACCCAACTTGCACCCGTGCAGCGGACGCCGCGCGGACTCGCACGGACGGGTGCCCAGGTCATCAGTGCGTCCGTCAAGGGGCTTGCCTGGGCGGAATCGTTAAGGCCACCCCTGGGGCAGCGCGTTCAACCGGTGGCCTCCAACCTACTAGCTACTAGTAGCTTCTAGTAGACTACTAGTAATGGCCTCCAACCTACTCGCGATGGCCTCCAACCTACTCGCGATGGCCTCCAACCTTTAAACAGCTCTGTGGTGACATTTTGAGGGCACAACAGTTCCACAGGAAGCGATGGAAGACTCACATCCCCTATCCCCCATCAAGCACTCAACTCCATGGAACTGTCCATCCATCGGGGCATTCGAAAACAGAGACCCGTATTGGTTGATTGCGAAGGGCAGAAAAGGGTTACCTACCTGATCAAGAGTCAACAAGCCATGTGCTGAGGGAACAGAATCATTTTGACAATCGAAGAGATCCCAACGTACTTAGAAGATCTTTGCATGTTGTTTTGATTGTCGCACTCAAGAAGTAGTTGATGCGGAAGGCTAACTACAGATGATCAAGAGATGCTCCAGACCAATGTCACGAGTCTCAACAGCGATTCTCAACGACAAGCCCGTTCAGCTAAATCCGGAATTCTTCCATTTGCTTAAGGTTAAACAGCCTGGGATGTGCCAAAACTGTAGCACAGACTAACGCATATAGTGACTAGTCACATGTCTTGGGGCGTGAGGCCTCTTCGAATTAGGTTTCTCCACCGCAGGAGGTCTAGAGTCTACATCCGCTGATATCCGCTGGACCGACTGGATTGAATATGGCTCCAATCGACTGGGATCTACGGACTCTTTGGTGACTCCCAAGATCTCCCAAGAAGCCCCGTTCGTAGCGTCCTTGCTCCTAGTAGCGAGGCCCTTGGCTCCCAAGATCTCCCAAGACTTGTCGGACCCAAACACATCTCCACATCTCCACATCTTTCTCTTCAACTTGGTGAACACTGTGTTGCTTTCAGGGCAGAAAGAAGAGACAACGCGAAACCAGGGCATGTTTCACCAATTGAAACCCAGGGCCGGTGAACAACAACTCAACACGTCGGCGCTCCAACACGTCAGCGCTCGACGGACCAGGTCTTTTCTCCAGTTGGCCTTGCTCAACTTCCACGCCACCTCGGTCACCTACGGCGCTCTGCTGAGCCAAAGCACCTGGCAGCGGGCGCTTGCTCCACATGGGCGCGGCCTGGTCCGTGGAAAGAGAGCGGTGGGCACCTGCAATGCAGCGCCCTGGGCAGAACAATAGAGGAGGAGGGGGGTTCGATATGTAATGATACAATATAGTTAGTTACTTGGTTGGCAAGTCCACATTCCTTGCAGAAGGCGAAACTTGTTTGTGCAAAACTACTCTTTGCATGTTGTCTGGGGTGTTTTAGTGCTTGTTTTTCGACAAGCCGAGCCTGGAATGCTCGTTGGTGATCGTTGGATCAATCAGGATTGTTCAGATCATGAGCTCATCGAAGTGAAGATGTTACACCATCTGAAGACCAGTATTACTATGTATATATTTCTGGTTGCTGGGCCTCTCGAAGGATCGACTAGGAGATTAAAAGTTGGAGCCTTCTGATGCCTCAGATTGAGTGCCCCAAGTTCAGTGAAGCTCAGGTACTGGTGGTCACGAAAGCTAGCTGTAGCAAGGAGGGTGGGAGCCCGGACCTGAGTGCTGTTACCTGATATATCAGGACTATACCCCCCCTCGCGGGGTTCAACTCCACCCTTCTCCTCCTCGGTACCTGCTGCTGCTGCTTGGTCGCTGCTGCTGCTGCTGGCATCTCATTTGCGCCTGCTCTTGGCTGCTTGCTGGTTGCTGCTGCTTGCATGCTTGGTGCTGCTGGATGCTCTTGGCTGCTTGCTGGTTGCTGCTGCTTGCTGCTTGCATGCTTGCTGCTGCTGGATGCTGGCTGCCTGCTGCTTGTTGTCTGCTCCGTTTTGCTGCTGTTGCTGTTTGGGGTTGTTGGCTGCTGTTGGTGCTGAAGAAAGCCTATTCGTTAGAATCGAGAGTAGTTGCATTCCCTCTGAGTCGTGAAACGATGCTAATTTCATTATATCCTTAAGAAGCTTGTACAGGCATGTACCCACCCCACAACCCCCAAGAGTACAAATCAGAATGCACTATCCGCTATCCATGCAGATCAAAAATGATACTTACTACACACATGAATGACAGAACCCAGTAAGATGTTTGAACGGGCTGTTTGCTTCACTCATGGTAGTCCGCGTTCCATGTTCGAGCGACAGTCTTCGGTCGCTGACACATGTTCGCATGCAACCCCTAGATGTCAATCATGCACACCGCTGCTGGCTGCATCGTCAGAATTTTTCGTGGAAAAACATATATATCCGATATATCTGTCTTTCCACGTCGCCCTTCTATTGTTCGAGACCAAATGTTGGGGCACGAAAGACTCTAAGGAAAGCTCACTCTTTCCCTGCTGCTGCTGCTGCTGCTGCCGCTGCTGCTGCTGCTGCTGCTTGGTAGCTGGTGGTTTGGTCGCTGCTGCTGCTGCTTGGTAGCTGCTGCTGCTGCTTGGTAGCTGCTGTTGATGCTGCTGCTGCTTGGTAGCTGCTACTGCTGCTGCTTGGTAGCTGCTGCTGCTGATGCTGCTGCTGCTTGGTAGCTGCTGCTGCTGCTGCTACTGCTGCTGCTGTTGCTTGGTAGCTGCTGCTGCTGCTGCTTGGTAGCTGCTGCTGCTGTTGCTTGGTAGCTGTTGCTGCTGCTGCTGCTGCTTGGTAGCAGCTGCTGCTGCTGCTGCTGCTTGGTAGCTGCTCCTGCTGCTGCTGCTGCTGCTTGGTAGCTGGTGCTGCTGCTTGCTAGCTACTCCTGCCGCTGCTTCTGCTGCTGCTTGGTAGCTTTTGCTTGCTGCCGCTGCCGCTGCTGGTTACAGTTATTGTTGTTGTGGCTGTTGCTGCTGCTGCTGCGGTTGCTGGGGTGGTTGTGTGTTGCCATGTGTTGGCTGTGTTGGGGTCGTATTGGGGGGGCGCTGTTGGCACTCTCCTTTTCCCTTGGCCATGGCATGCTGCGATTCCCGGCCAGGCTTTTGCTGCCTAAAGAGCCCCAGCGTTGTTTCTTTGCCTAGCTTTCGCCACCCCCCCTCTGGGCCACAAGTGTTCTTCTTGGAGGCTGAGAGTCTGCAAGTTTAAGACCTGCGCTTAAGACACCAGTGGGGCAACTCGCAATCACAGCACCGCAGTGAGGCGCTTAATGTGCTGCCCTGGGTCTTTGCTATGTTTCTCTTGGAGGAGAAGAGCCGCGCATGTCGTGCAGCAGCGGGTGCTGTGATGGGGACCGCTATGGGATTGTTGCCGCACAGGAAGCTAGTATATCTAGCTATATGGTATAGGGATTCGAAACGGGGCCCACGCGCCAAACCCACTTTGAGAGCTTTTAGGCATGGGGAAACTGAATTCAAAGCCCCCGTGGTGAAGATCCCTGACTTCTGGAGCTGGAATAGAAGCCAACAAACTGGTAGGTTTGGACAAATCCATATCGGCACAGACTAAAGGTGAATTCCCTGTTTTTTTTTTTCAATCTCTATGTTTCTTAGATATGATGTTGCTGCGCAATCGCGGTAAACACCTATGTATGACCACAGAAATTGGGTCATTCTCATGGCGCAGATGACGGGACTTGGGCCACCTTCGCCGAGTGGTTCAGCTATACCGAGACCGGGATCGTGCCAATACCACCCATGTTTCGGTGGCTCATCAGATCATGTGGTTCATTTCCAATACAATGTTTGCAATATTGGAGGCCCCGAGCATCATTTTGAGGCAGGTAGGGAGACAATGGGAGACACACTTTGTATTTTGTTGGAGTGGTTCTTTCGCACATGTCCTACCACATGCAAGCAGTTTGCACGTCATTTTCCAACTGGAGTCGTGTCTTTGATATTTTGATGCAAGATATCCTGCATCACCTGAGATAGAGAAGACCCACTATTTCTATCTATTTCTGATGTTTGGGTGGTTCCAGAACGGTGTTGGATCTCCTCCAAGAACCGTCGGATGGCATTGGCTGTGTCGCACAGCTTCCAGCGTTTTCCAGCGTTCAGGAGATGGACCACTGGCTGATTGAGAAGGACGTGGCTCAGATCCAAACTGGGCGGTGTTTTTGAAGCCACTTTTCCTTATGGTTAGAGTTCTCACATAACCCTCCCACGCGCAGAAACGTGACAATTGCAATGATTTGACGGAAGAACAAGGCATCGCCCCCCAAAAAAGAGGTGTTTTCCATGTTCTTCCTCGCCACACAGGTGTTTTCACCACCAAACCCTGGAACACGTGTGTGCGCGTGAGGCGATCACCTGGAACACGAGCATCCGTTCACCCACCTGGGAGTGGGCCTGGGACTTGCTAGCTCAGGTCAGGGCGAAGCGGAGACGGGGGTTGTGAGCTCAAAGACTGGATCGCTCCAGCACGGTTTCAAGTGGGAATCAATACCCGCAGTATGACAATTCTCGGCTTTCAGTCTCAGTTTTGACATCAAGTTTGGGGAGTCCCAGACAAGTGTATTGTCTTTCGACATGTCATAGACGCATGTTCTGTTCCAAACCACCAAACCATGCATCACGGACATGAGTCGGTTCCCTCGGCGAAGAAGGGGTGACCTCGGGAGTTGGTCGCTTCCCGATGGGTCCAACTTGGCCGGTGCGGAGATATGGCTGGCGGTGGCGGAGGTGTTTCGGTTCTGTAGACGTCTTTGGGGTTCGGCTTCCCGGTTCCCGGTAAGTCCCTACGACTGGCGCTCTGGAGCTCCTCCGTCGACCTGGAGGACGTTTGCGGAGTTGAAGGTCAAGGTTGGAAGGCAACATGTTGGTACTGGTAGATTGACACTCCCTGGAATCAGAATGGTTTCGTGGGGTTCACCACCGATGTGAAAAGGAAAGAGAGCGGGGCACCATGGGGTGTGGAGTTGTGAAATGTTATATATCGGGGAGTTGTGGTGTGATTTCTGATTAAATTTGACTTCCTTGCATTGTGTAACAGTTGTTAAGATGCCAGAAGCACCTAGAAGCATAGATGCAGACGATAGCTTGCTTGCATTATGTCTATTAGATGCTCAGATGCCAGAAGAATGGAATCATCAAGAATCAAAAGGAACAAAGTAGTTTAAAAAGGGAAATCAACAGGAATAAATAGGGATGCAGCGATTTAAAGTGCAGACTTCCTTAAACCTGGGCTAGAGCTCTCCATGGAGTGCAGGTTTGTTGGTGCCCAGCCTGACACAAAAAATTGTGTTAAAAAGAACTCCATTTCTAGGGGTCTAGAGGGTGGAAATCGATCAATAAGGAATTTTGAAAAGCGTGGACATTATTGCAGGGGATGTTATTTTTAAACTCATACCATGGCAAAAGCAGACCATATTTGAGGTGGCAATGCTACTTAAACATGGACAAACGTAGACATTAATCCAGGGGTGCAAATTATTAAAGCCAACAGAGGCAAAAACTATTGTAGGTGTTAGACTATATTTAAGGTTTCTACTCTAGTGCACGGGGCTATCCCCTTCGTGGAATGGATTTTGCTATATTATAGTTTGACAAGTAATATAAGAACTTATAAAGGAAATTTCCAGGGTGTGTTGCGTTTGTGGCGATAGTGGGGAGTCATGCAGTTTGCAGGAACTGACATGCTGGAAACCCTTTTCAGATTGGTTTCCTCAAACTGTTTTGTTTTTAGGGCTCTTCCAAGACAAGGGTCGTAGAGTTATTCTGATTCTCTTTGAACGTTTATTCAGAACAGTCTGTGGTTGCTTGAATGATCGGTCGTCGCCTTGGAGCAACGAAGCCCACATGCCGCAGACCCCTAACCCGGATATGAACACCTACAACACCAGCATCAGCCAGAGCCCGTGGCATGGAGTGGATGGAGTATGGGGTTGGGCGAACCCGGTTCCTGGAAAGCCTGGAACCTTTGGGGGTTCACGGGGGGGGGGCTTCCTCCCAAGATCATCCCCAAAGAGTTTCTGAAACTTATATTTACTTATATTATATGTAATTATATATATATAGCTATCTTATACATGACCATGGATTGTGTGTTGATAGACCTTGTCTTGGAGTATTTGACTGCAGGGGACAAGGTCCGGGACTATACGCACCAGAGTTAATGTAATCTATACATATATATATATGCTAATGCTAGCACGTAGAGAGGGAGTTGATTCTATCTAATGAGTTTGGGGTTGCATTTCACAATGTGATACCAGTGATGTCACGAAAGAGATGCTGCAGGAGTTCTTCCGTAAAAAAATGCCGTGCGCCAAACCACGTTCTTCCGACCGCCCCACGACCACCCCACCCACTTCGGATGAAGCTCTGGCAGGATCACTTGGGTCCAAAGGAGCGAACCAAACAACCTTCCACGACCCGAAGCGATCCGGATCGGAGAACCACCGTGATCCGCCATCGTTTTGCTGGTCCCATGCGGGACCGAGGTGGCCAGAGGCGTTAGCTCTCTTGGAGTTCCTTGGAGATCCGCGTTTGTTAGGTGCAATGGTTTTTCTTTGAAAATCAATGGAGACTTTCGTTCACCACCGCCCTCTTGGCTCACTGAACTCGAGCGCATTTGGATATTTTACCAAGAAATTGGCGCCTTTTGAAGTGGCCTGTAGAAAGTGGGGGGGGACTTTGCTTGGTGTTCAATGACATTCTCTCCCAAGGGGTTCACTCTTCTACCAACCAAGAATCCACTGCGATCCACTTTTCCCGCTTGCAAACATGCAAGCGCACACACACACATAGCCCAGAACAGAGCAAATGACCACAGCACAGAGATGCACAGAGCAGGGCTGACCACAGGTTCTTATTCCTGTTCCTCATGGACTTTCCCCAATCTTCCAGTTCTGCTACACTCCTGTGTCTTGTTCCACCTGATCAGTCGCCTTTTGCTTGCGGTTACTATTGATGGGCTCATTCATAAAGGGATACCCTCAAGTAAACCACCAACACAAATGAGCCAACAACTCCCTCAAGGACATCCTCCAACATGTTCCACACGGACATCGTCAGCCTAGGTGTTTAGCTTCCTCCCACGGCCAGTTGGACCTCATCAGCTCTGCGCTGACCCGGGGCGACCTTGGTGCTTGGGCGAGGACATGGCAGTTGCTGGAGCAACTGGAGGTGGGCGCGAGAACGTACTCTGTACCAGGGCGCCATGGGGTGGTGAATGGACATCCCGAATCACCTCTTTTCGGGGCTATATAAGACACCCCAAACAATCGGGGCCCTGGTATAGTCAGCCGGATCATGGATAGAAATCAGTCCCTTCACGAACCGCATTCAAAAAAGACTATTTTATATTTGTCGCTCAATGGTTCGTCCTCAGTCCTCGTTTTCTTTTCCTTGATCCAGGGCGATTTAGATGTGGTTCTTTTGAGTTATCAGAAGATCAATAATAGTTATCGATTCGTATCCCACTAATGGAGCAGCCGTTGATCTTCTGCAGCATTCCGTTGGATTCAGGATTCAGCCTGCTGACCTGGACTTTGGCTGCTCCAGGGGGAAGTCACTATAGCCTATTAATAGTCACTACATGCCGCTTGTTTGTCGCGGTGTGACAGTGCAGATTGGTGCGTGCCTCTCTTGAGATAGAGATGCAGATACTGATTGGCTCGCAGGTCAAACGCCTTCAGCTGACCCTGGTGACTTGCCACTCCATCTTGAGCTATGCAGAGTGGTCTTTGGCGCTGTGGCTCTTACAAGAGGCTGGCCTAAAAAGTGGGATGACGACTGAACGGTGACCAGTCACAAAGAGAAGTAACTGCCTTATCACTTTGGTGGTTATCTCGTTTTGGATCGTTTTGGCCTTCAGCATCCGGTGATGAGACCCATCCAGATCTCCCTCGCTCTCAGCATCCGGGGCACATGAACTTCCGGCTTCTTCAAAGAACGCGCGGCGACGCGAACGCGCCAGGCCTTTCGCTTGGACTTGGAGGTTTCGATCTTGACCTTTGGCCTGGCGATGAGTGCCATTGAGCGCGCAGTGGCGCGGATTGTTTGGGTCTTTGTGTTTTGGGGAGATCGTCTGGGGAAGACGGATCTCAAGACCGCGCATGTTGTTTGTTTTTGGCTTTTTGGCATGGGATTTGAGCCATAAATAGTACACCTCCGACTTGCAAGACTCCGAGACTGTGTTCCCTTGGATGAAAGTGAGAATACCTCGGGATGTCTGTGGTTGTGGTTGTGCCAATTCCATTCCATTCTGTTTAGGGAGTTTTTGTTCAGCTTTGCAAGTCATGTGGTTTGTGTTTGTGTTTTTGTTTGGGTCGCACCAGTTGCCCCCTGGGCGGTCGCGTCACCAGGGCCGCGGCGGTGACGAGGTCGCCCGGGTCGACCCTCGACCAAACGCAGACCCTTCGCTGGAGCATCATTGGCATATTCTAGTTTGTGTTTTGCGTATTCCTTAGTCAAACAGCTCGGTTCTTCGGTATAGATCAGGCTTTGATACTTAGTGGAGTTTCTTCGGTGGCATCGGGAGACGGTGGCGCCCCGTTCACGGGCGCAGACGCGGCTCGCTCGCCCTGAGCGTGGCGAGCCGCGGATTGGGAGACGGTGAGGTCGAACGAACATGAGCCGCTGAGATCGACGAAAAATCAGAAAAGGGGTATTTGATTTTGGGGCATAATATATAAGAGCCAGTTTGTGCCTTTTGTTGCAGCCATGGGAGGTTTGGATGTGTTTGGGATAGGCTCTATAGTGAGGTAGTTGCAGGCTTTCGAGCTCCAAATAAGCCGCCTCCCTTTGGTGTATTAGTATGTGAGATGCTGTGAGTGTCTATGTTTGTTTGAGTCAGCGTGTCTGAACACTGATCGGACTCACTTTACCTGTGTCGTCCACAGGTAGATACAGAAATACAAGGCATGACAGGTCCGACCGTCCAAGCGATCACCTCATACCAACCCCAGAGCTGCCCAAGCTGTTCTTCTTGAATCTTCTTGCTACCCAAGCTGCGCAGATCCGTCCATCAGGCCAAATGGCCTTCAGCAGTGCAACTCCTGGATTTCATGCAGACCTCACGCCTTGGGCCTAGCACGGTGCGCAGAAATGCCGATGGTCGGTGGAGAAACAAGTGAAGGGGGTGAAAGCGTTTTTGTGTGCAGCTAGCTTGGGAATCCACGTAATATATCACCAATGAAGTCCCGGATGATGCTCATGAACTGAAGGTCGCTTGCAAAGAAATAATCCCCAAAATGGCCCGGAAAAAGTGATGGTCATTCCACCATTTTGTTCTGGGAGTTCTTTGTTCCTCAGAAACGCGCCCATTCCGAACTCAATTATCTACCAGTCCAAAAAAGAGTCCTTGTTGAGAGAGCCTCACAAAATATGAGCAACATGTTGAAGTTTAAAAGAGACTTTCGCACTTGGCCCTTCGCTTTTGGCGCTTAGCCTCACATCGCTTTTGGCCCTTCGCAGGTGGCCTACAATGGAGCCATCGGTGCGACGAGTCGTGGTGCTTGGCACAGGGCTTTGGCCCTGTTCCAGAACATGGTTCCTTGATACACAGACACGGAGGAAGTCGTAGGATGGGAAAGGAAGAACAGATGGAGCTTTTCCTTTAGTGTATAGGCGCAAAAGAGTGATGATATGCTGCTATCCTCTATAGTCTTGGAGATTGCTGTCATGGTTCCCAACAGGGTCCCTCTAGTTGGTTTGACCCATATGAAATTCGTAACACCCCCTCTGAGGAAAGTTGCCAGATTTGGAGTTCCCCTGTTGAAGTTCTGCGCACGGTTTGTACACCTACCGTCCATTGCACATATAACCCCAAACTGTGTGAACAATTGTCAGAAGTGATAAAACGTGAGAAAACAGTTTCGGCTTGATCATGAAAACTACGGTACAGTACAACTAGAATACATTGCAAGACTAAGAACACTTATAGAACACTTTTTTGCTCACTGGTTTTCCTACACCTGCGAAGGCGTCAAAGTTTAGATGTCACCTGTTGGGTTGAACAGTTTCATTGTTACTTCCATTTCGGGGTGATCATTTATGCTAAGAATTTACTTGTTCGTAGTTCAAGCAAGTCAATATCTCCAGGCGCCGTTTCAGCTCCTTTTCCCTGCCAAGGAGCGCCGGCTTCGACGAGACGTGGTCGGCTACGGAGCAGCGATGAGCGTCTCCTGGCAGTAAAATTAGGCCGCCGGACTAACTGAAGAGGTCGTGTGTACGGCGGTGTGCTATTTTTTATATCCAATATGGAAGTGGAAGACCCTAGAGGCCCTAGAGTCAGTATTTATTAGTTAAATTGATTACCCATTTTGGATGCACTCACTTGCGGTCCGTGGACGCTTCCACCGCACCCCTTGCCGTGTTTTACGGCGGGTATGTGTGGAGTATGTGAGACGCTCGGATGTCTAATGTACAAAAAGGACCTAAACTACGAAAAGCATGGCGATGCGAACAAATCGGTGGAGAGCACAGTGAACGGAAAGACTACCACAAAAGACAAATGGAGGACATCAGGAACCAAGATCTCAAGATGAATTAAATTATGCAGCGAAGTGTCTCACACTAATTCAACCTAATTATTTGGATGCGGGATGGTATCAAAGGATTTCTTTCGGAAATGAGCATTGCGAACATTCTGGAGGAACTTCTCCCGTTTGGGCGGTGGGACCTCTTCCCAATCCGGCCATGGAAAACTCGACTCTGCAGGGGGGATTTCTGGGAGAGGAATCTCTGTATGATAAGGTGGGTTATTTGGCATATTCAAAATCATTGCGTCGAGAAATGCACAGGTCGCCTGGGCATTTGGAAGGACAGGTCGGCGAGACACACCACCCTCATGGTAGGGGGTGAACCCTAGTCTTGTAAGACTAGAGGCTCCCTGCTTTTTATATTGAGGTATGATATGCGATCGTGAGAATGTCTGTATGTGTTTGACAATGAGTCTGAAATTATCTGCAAGCATGCGGACGGAGCGAGCACGGATGGGCAGCAAGGCTACGCGGGGATCATCAAAAGGGACCACACACTGAGTCTGATCGCCACGAATTCGTACCGGCAAAACCTTGGCTGACCACAACATAAAGGAGCATGCCAGCTCTGTCCACGTGATGCCTGAGTCGTGGTTGGATGCTGGGCACTCAATGCTCGGCCATTTCAGAGTGGTGCAGAAATGCCAAACCATTCGAGCCAGGTTGACGCCCCAAGGGCAACACCAAAACACTACCCGATGCGGTTCAGGTGGCAGGACGAAGAACGGTGGGCTGACAACCCACGTTTGGAGCTTATGAAGTGTCTGAGAATAGGTGGTGGCGGCATTGCGGATGGGTGGTGCCATACGGCCTGCAGCGGATTTGGTGCTTTCGGAATTCTTCTCCAGCTTTTCCATCCGGGCACAAGCGAATGCTAAAAGGTATTCAAATACCTTAGTAAATGATGTTATCTCTGTATTACGGTGTGCACGGATGTGCTGGCACAATGCAGAAAAATCAGGATCATCTAACAGGCGCGACTTGCCTGCGACTTCATCGGCATACCCGTTACCCTGGATATGCCTGGCTTCAGCAAGGGACGTCGCCTCCTGCAATGACATGTGGGATTTTATCTTCTGAAGCTGAAATCGGGACGCATCCCATACTTCGGCGAGACGGGAAACGAGATCCCAGTGTGCTGTCTTATGAGGGGAACGACAGATGGTGCCATCTAGTATGTGGTCAACAGTGTTAACAGCATATTGAGAGTCCGTGACAAATAGGATCGTTTGGCTATTGGCAATGAGTAGGGATTGTTCTACGGCAGTGATAAGGGCAAAGAGTTCGGCCCGATTGATAGTCTGAGGGCCTAGACAATGGCCATTTTGGATTGTCAAACCTCTTGATATGGGTTTTTATTTATCAACAGACTACATTACACAGACCGAGAAGGTTGATCATCAATCTCTTTGTTTGTTGGAGATGTTTTTCTTCTTTGACTCCACATTGACCCCTGAAATGTGTGACCCAGTCAAAAAGATGTGAAGTGGGCCGAGTTTCAGAGGAATCTCCTTAAAAACCACGGGATGTTTTTTGTTTGGAACCTGGGCCTTTGCGTGTTTAAGAGCTAGTTTGCAATTTCCCGCGAATGTGAACATCATTGAACATCCATGCACTAGCTATTTTAATCTACAGCCAAACAGCTCGCTAGCTGTTAGCCCACAGAGTATATATGGGTACATAAATACCGACGAAGCCGTGTAGAGTGTAGAGATCATAACATGATTATTCATTTAATTTGGCATACATCAAGCACCTGTATTCGGGTTTGCTCACTCAGGCGCTTGCTGGCGGTGGGGCAGATTGGCCCTCAGCATTGCTGCTTCTGCAGGAGCAAGTGACTGGGAGAATTTGATGTGTCTATTTGCTCGAGGAATCATAACAAAGCTAGCAGACCACTACGTAGCTGCGTATTCATGACTTTGATTATTAATTTGTTGTGATCCTTGGAGAGATGCCTCACTTGATGCTCAGTTTGGCTTGGCCATAGTAGCTTCAAATTCCAGAATCTAGCAGAGTCCGTAATTTGTCTTCAACAACCACAAGCCACCAGCCAGTAGATACCTTGCACCAAACAAACCGTGGCTGTTCTGTGGAGCAGTTGTTTCGGTTCAATCTTTGTTGACTAAATGAGGCTCTAGCTCGCATCATATAATATAAGCCAAAAGAGGTGTGCAGTGCATTTGCCTTTTCCTCCAGGTGTGGTGCACTTCGAAACAAAACCACCGGTTTCAGGCACGATGCTGCAGCATTGCTACGCAGCCCAGCATCGTTCAGTACAGCCATCGTTCAGGACCTTGAAGACGAGCACTTGGAGTCGAATGTGATCCCCTACAATTCTGCCCTTCGTGCCACACAGTCATGCTGGCCACGACCCTTGGCGTTCACGTTTCCGAGTCGCAGCCGTTTTCCGTTTTGATTGAGTGTGTTGTTTGGAGGGGTGTTCATCCGGTGTGGTTCGCAAGTTCATCTGGGCTGGTCGACAACATGTAGGGTCATGTAGGGCCCAAAGGCATTTTCGTGGTATTTTGCCGTGTCCAGAGGTGCGAAGGTCAAGGCATTGCAGAAAACAGTTTTCTTTCCCTCCTGAACCAGAAATTTGCAGGATCTTTGACTTTGATTTGGGGCATCTCCAACCATTTTGCTTGGAAGGTGTGTGCTAGTTGCAAGGCCAGCTGTGTGCTTCAGGAAGAGGTGTTGTGTTCAGACGTGTTGAAAAAGATAAACTTAAGCGATCAGAAGGCGTTTCAGGACCTGCAACGCTTGGTTGCTTTCACGAAGATGTGGTCTAGGCTCGGCTCAGGCGTGCGTCAGGCTGCCTGACAGCATCTCATCAGGAAGTAGGGCGACCTCCCACGGATCCACGCGCCAATAATATGGGAACCTCAGTCAGTGGTGGTGACTCAGCGACCAGCAGCCCAGCACAAACTGAACCTGGCGGAGTCTAGTGGCCAGGCCGGAATCATGCTTCATCCCCAGATCCACCGCAGAGCCGGAATCAAGCCGTTCACCACCCTTTTGGTGTTTCTAGCTGGGCTACTGGCCTTGCATGGGCTACTGGCCTTGAAAGTCATTCACCACGACTCGGGGTGTATTGGAAGTCATTGACCACGCCTCTGAAAGGCAAACCCTTCGATCTGCTCGCATCGATCCACCCTCCGGATGGGTGACCCGAGGACGTCGCCATTCCCTCCGTCGCCCATTTGGCTCGACAGAGTCAGATAAGACTCGGTGTCCGGTGGAGCTCCTGCGCACTTAAGACTTTGTTCGCGGGACGCCTCCGCTGAAGAGGGTGGTGCGACCGAAGGTGCACCCTCCGTCACTAGTCGCCCGCGCGGGCTAGTGGCCGGAGACACTTGGAAGAGATGGGAGACCGAGGGAAGACAAGGGTGCTTTAAATATCTTTAAATATATAATAATGATGCCTAGGGCGTAATGATGCCTATGAATATACCTAGAATATCCTTTAATTACCTATAATTATATCCTTATACTGCATATGACTTAGGTGTATGTGTCCTTTTAGCATTATGTGGCATTATGCCTTTGAGCCATAGCCATATTCTTTAGGAACCAGTTCTTTGGGTTTTTGAGCATCACACCTATCGGAAGATAGACCAAAGAAACCACCGCTAAGGACTAAGGATCTTATCATTCCCCCCTTCACCATCCCAAAACCAAGAGGTGATCACAGTTCAGGTTTTTCCAGAAACATGCGATTTAGATTGATTTCGATTGAACTATTCGTCCAATTTGGGTGCTTTGCAAGCGAGTTGCAGGTTTGAGAGAGTCCATCTAAGACCAGGTTTCACTTATTAGGGTGATGTATATTTTCCCTATAGGGAAAATATCTTCTGGCGAATAGTTGTTCCTGGACACCAAATCAAAGAAGATGATTTGGGTGATCAGCACAAGTCCGGAAACTTGGCAAGACAGCCAGCACGTATCATTTTCGCCAAGACAGCCAGCCGTTTGATTCGGTAATTTCTTGACGAGTTCTTCGAAGAGTTTGCACACATTTGTGCTCACTTTGTTTGGAAGGTTTGGTCGTGGAGCGCGACAAATTTGTAGGATGGCTTATTGTTGTCCGCAAAAAAAACGTTTGATGATATCCAATTATGCACATGTTTGCTCAGCGGCATAATTAATGAATTGTATTTGTAAACTATCACAGATTACCATTATTGCGTTGCCCAATGGCATAATATATATATATACACGTATACCTGGAACTTCCTCAGTGTGCTTTCTTTTGATCTGCGGGGCGTAATAACAATCTTTTCGAGTCATTGCCTTATATTTGAGTCTGCGGATGTTTCACAAGTTCGATATTCCACGGGCGCTTATACACGACCAGCTACGGGCTTTTATTGGTGAGCCATGGGCGCTTTACCAGAACGTGCTTGTTCAGCGGATGTTTATATATTCTGGTTTCGGATGTTTGTGTGGTTCACAGACCTATAGATCAAGGTACACGTAGGTTAATTGAACTACCGCGACCAACAAATGTTACCGCAAGGTTGCAGTTCTATAGGGTATAGAACCAGGAAATACACGATCTCATCAAACAAACCGCCAATGTTCACAAGACAGGTTTGTATTTCCACAGCAAATGACTCTGGTACCACGATTCCTTCTGGTGACTTCTGGACAAAGCATGACCACCCACGCGCTTATCGGGAATTACACGACCACCATTTTCACACACCACCCAACTGGCTCATTCGACAACGTGGATCACCTGTGCTGATCAGCGGAACTAAAGTTTGGGGAGACTTTGGGATTATCTGCAGGTTTTGCATGGTTTGGCTTAGGGTGTCTATTTTCGGGTCAATGTTGAAACCTTGGGACTCTGTTCATGTTTTTTCCCGCGGTTCCTGGACAGCAATTCCAAGTCCAGGACAGATACATTGATGCTACGATTAGCAGTGAAGAGGAATCGTGCCGCGCCGCACGTGCGATCCAAGAGTATAGCGAGTGTGAGCTTGAGTGACCATGACGTGGCTCGGCCAGTTATGTCTTTGAACCGCCTTGGGAGGTGCCCTGGAAGGGCTCCGTGAAAAGATGTTGTTGTTTTATTTCGAGGATTCTTGAGTAATTATTTATGTCATGTGTTCAGCCCACAGTAAGACAGATAATAAACTGCAATTAGCATGTTTCACGGACTCGTCAACACAATGGCACCCCTCTTCCTCTCCAACAATTGGAACTCTTCCGAGTTCAATCGCATTTCTGATTTGGCACACGGTTCCTGGCCATTACTACTAGGAGCAAGAAGCTACTATGTGGAGGCCATCGCAAGTAGGTTGGAGGACATCGCTACTAGTAACAAGAAGGCTGGAAGCCATTACTACTAGGAGCAAGAAGCTACTATGTGGAGGCCATCGCAAGTAGGTTGGAGGACATCGCTACTAGTAACAAGAAGGCTGGAAGCCATTACTACTAGGAGCACGAA